TGTGTGTGCGCTAAACTGTGGCGCAGTTACAAAAATAGCCTAAATTAAAGCATTTTAAAGTTGGGGACAAAACATCGGCTAATTATATTTAGAATACAGTAATAAATAACTGCTTATAAATGAATAAATATCAAGGAGTAAATCATTGAAAAATTCTTTCTATTGGTAAAAAAAAAAAAAAAAAAATGCAACTGGTCGACCAATAAGAATGTCAGTCGACCAAGACGGCATCGACCGATTAGTTGACTAAACGACTAAAGTTGACAGCACATTCCTCTCTGCACTCTAAGCGTTCTGTTATCACTCCCATTTCGTCCACTACGGGTTTTCCAGTCTCACTCATAGGAAAAACTGTTCCTGTGAGTGAGATAATCTTATGTTTTACTGACTGCTCCCCCGCAAGAATTTTTTTTTTTTTTACATTTTAAGGTTAAATGCATCAGATCAGATCAAAATTAGGAGCTTCAACCCAGTTAAACAAAGATAAAGCATTGATTTGTACCAGGACAATAAAGAGGGCTCAAACTTCTTTTTAGTTGTGAGAGTCTCAGTCTACATTACATTATCAATGGTGTTTTCGGATGCCAAACAATTAACATAATAATGTAATAATGATTTATATAATTATTCCTATGACGTAAAATCCATATAGCCTATATAGGCTACTATATTATTTCAAAAGTATATTTTAATCAACATTACACTATAATATAGGAAAATTAAAATACTTTTCTCCTATTTCTACACTTACAAGAAATAAACCCTTGAGCTTTTATTTAGGAGAAAACAGATAGCCGTGCTGATCGGGTGATTAATTCAACTGAAAAAAAAAAATTATAAACTAAATAAATCCATGGTTCATTGTTGGCAAAATGATCATGATAGCCTTCATATATCTAGAATATGTGGTACAGTCATTGATTAGGCATACTTTGCTAATCTATAAATTAATATAGGCCTAATAAGTGATTATAATATGCTATGTGAATTCCAAGGGTCGTACGTTTTTCAGAGGCCCATAGATAGTCATGCCATGAGAGGAAGAGTGAAATTTTCTAAATATTTTTATCTTGGCTATTTAAAACCTTCGCCACAAATGGCAGAGCCAGAAGCCAGTCCGGAGGATAGGATGTCGACATTTCCACTCTTTGACATTGGCAGTTTGCGCTTCAGGTAACCTATAAATAATTTAACCTCTGTCGCCTTGCTTTCGATCAGTCTCTGCCTCTCCTCTCTCTCTCTCTCTGAGTCACGCAAACAAAACAAGCACCAGTAACAGGCTTTGGATTCAGAAAGAGGCAATATTGCTGTTCAAGTTGGGAGGAAAAACAAATAACGATAATATATATTTATATTTTTTTTAAACGCCAGTAAATTACAGAATAAAAGGCGGGGAGTGCTGGATTCGTTTCATGTCGCTCCTTGCCTATTTCTGTCGCTGTAAAAGACGCTGGACAATTGATTGAGAGAGCGAGATATTCCCTGCTGTGTTATTTTAAATAATGCTCCGCCTGAGAGGGAATACAGATGAAGGAGGCCTTCTCGTCGCAGCTATTAAAATGGGCCGTACAGATCTCAATCAGATGCATATTATCTCATTCACAGGGCTGTAAACATGCAGGTTGTGTTTGTGTTGATTAGATCATCTCTAATTGGATGCACTAACAAATGCACAATAAGTATTAGATCATTGGACATGATTACTATATTAATGTACAACACATGCACAAACAAAAGGGTATTTAATGAGATTAATAATTGAATGCAATTTCTTTGAATCCCTGCCATAATGCTAGGTTGTTGCTATTCGATTGCTTAGCCCCAGGTCAAAAGTTTTAATGATATTTTGGTCTCTAGATTCAGTCTCGTCCTGCAATGCGAGTCTATGGGATTTTTTTTAGCAAACTGTCTAACTGCTAAAAAAATAAAACCTTTTTTAATTTTTAAAAAGTTAAATGAAATGAATAAATAATGCCTTTGCAAATATTTTAACCACTAAAATTACTAACTGGAAGTTAAAACATAAATAAAAATTATCTAAAAATACAAAAGCTAATTCAAAATACATAAAAAATAGTATATAAATAATACTAATATAACACTGGTCTGATCTCTTAGAAAAGTAACTAGAACGTACATTTCCAGACGAAAATGTGAAGTGGTGCTTGCAGTGGCAAAACTCACCACCCGGTTGCTAGGGTGTTCTGGGTGGTTGCTAGTTGGTTGTCAGGGTATTCTGGGTGGTTGCTATGCAGTTGCTAGGGTATTATGGGTGGTTGCCAATGTGTTCTGGGTAGTTGCTAAGGTGTTGCTAGGTGGTTGCTAGGGTGTTGCTAGGTTGTTACTAGGCGGTTGTTAGGGTGTTCTGGATGGTTGCTAGGTGGTTGCTAGGGTGTTTCTAAGGTGTTCTGGAAGGTTGCTAGGCAGTTGCTAGGGTGTTGCTAGGTGGTTGCTAGGGTGTTGCTAGGTGGTTGCTAGGGTATTGCAAGGTGGTTGCTAGGGTGTTCTGGGTGGTTGCTAGGTGGTTGCTAGGGTGTTGCTAAGGTGTTCTGGATGGTTGCTAGGCGGTTGCTAGGGTGTTGCTCGGTGGTTGCTATGGTGTTGCTAGGTGGTTGCTAGGGTGTTCTGGGTGGTTGCTAGGTGGTTGCTATGGTGTTTGGGGTGGTTGCTAGGGTGTTGCTAGGTGGTTGCTAGGGTGTTGCTAAGGTGTTCTGGATAGTTTCTAGGTGGTTGCTAGGGTGTTGCTATGCGGTTGCTAGGGTGTTCTGGGTGGTTGCTATGGTGTTGTTAGGTTGTTGCTAGGGTATTCTGGGTAGTTGCTATGGTATTACTAGGGTGGTTGGTAGTGTTCACATATGGTTATTATAGAGTTTTTATATTGTTCATGGCATGATTTAGCACTTAGCTAATCAATATTAGCATGTAGCTATTCACAGCTAGCATGTTTAGCATTTTGAAAGTTCTATGTGCTAGCATGAGTCAAAAGACCCAACCCCCATCGTGATACAATGTTCTGATGCTGAGATATAGCTGTTACAAAATGGTTGCTAGGGTACTCTGTTTGGTTGCTAGGGAGTGGCTTGGCAGCTTCCAATCATGAAGCTCCAAAGTCAATGTGAATGTATAAACCAACCCCCATCTCTATACGATGTTCTGATAAAGAGATGTAGGCCTTGCAAAATGGTTGCTAGGGTACTCTTTTTGGTTGCTAGGGAGTGGCTTGGCAGCTGCCAATCATGAATCTCCAAAGGCTGCTTGTCAGTATAATTGATATAATACAACTCCCAAGCCTGTATGACATTCAGAATGGAAGATATCCCTCTTTAAAATTTGGTTGCTAAGGTGCTCGATAATGGTTGCTAGGGTGTGGCCAGAAATTGTTGAGGTGATTCATGATTGGCTGTTTGCTACCCCGAGTCAAACGAGACCACCCTTTTGTTTCTATGACACTTCTATCCGGAGATATCCCTTTGATCTCTTTCAATGGAAGTCTATGGGAGTTGTTGCTAAGGTGCTCTATATGGTTGCTAGGGCGTGGCTTGATAGCTTCACAATGATCCTGAGAGACTGATTGGTCGTCTGAGTAAAATGAGCCCGCCCCCTTGTCTCTATGACACTATGATCCAGAGCTATGTTCAATACAAAATCCCTATGCAATTTACCATAGTAGGAAAAACATGCATTTGATGGGACATCCTTCACCATAGTAAGTCAATGGGGAAAATTTTGGGTAGCTCCTGCCCCCCAGGGGTGCAACTTTTACCCCATTGTGAGGTATGTTCTTACAGAGGCTGCCAGCCTCTTCAAATGTGGCAAATCACACGTTTTTCCGAAATCGTTGTTCGGAGCTATGAGTCGTCAAAGTTTGTCTCAATGTTAAGTCTATGGGATTTTTTGGAAATTTGTTCGCCCCTGGGTCGAACACCGTACCCCCGATCTCTGATAAAAGTGATAGGACACTTCTCTTCAATAGGCCGCACGATTTGATGCCTCATTCATGGGTCTGTGACAAAAACTGTGGACGTAGGAGTGCGCCAAACTTTTTCCTGGAATAGTAATGCTATACTAGAAATTTTAAATAACATTGGGGTCAATGGGGGAAAATTTGGGCAGCTCCTGCCCCCCAGGGGTGCAACTTTTACCCCATTGTGAGGTATGTTCTTACAGAGCCTGTCAGCCTCTTCAAATGTGGTAAATCGCAGGCTTCTGTGAAATCCTCGCTCGGAGCTATGAGTCGTCAAAGTTTGTCGCAATGTTAAGTCTATGGGATTTTTGGGAAATTTGTTCGCCCTTCGGGCGAACATCGTACCCCCGATCGCTTAGAAAAGTCATAGCACACCATTCCCGAATATTCCGCACGATTTGAGACCTCATTCATGGGTGTGTGACAAAAACTGCGGGAGGAGTAGCGCGTCAAACTTTTGGGCCGACTCAAAAAACACAATAGTAATAGTGTTGCCTTGCTTTCAGCAAGCACCACTAATAATATACCTCTTTTTAAATTTGTCAGGCCCAGTGCATACAAGACAGAAGCTAATTGCCCTGTGCTAATTTTAAAGTTTCTTGTAGGAAACCAAGCGACCATAATTTTGACCTACATAGTCTACAATTAGTGATGTAAAATGAGCTCCAGCATGACAGCAAATAAGATTGAAATTAGTGTCTTCACTCAATAGAAAGGGCAAAACTTCAGTCCTATTATAGTGTGTGTGCTTGGCTGAACCTCAAATACGTGTAACAATAATGGGGACGCTTGCCTTGGAATATAAGCACATAATAATGTTAGCATTCACCTTGAGATGCTGGAAAGTATTTTGTAAACACAAACAAACTGGTAGATCAAGCAAGGATTCACAAGGGAAATCTCATCCAAGATTATTCATAAACCCTGTTTAGTATTTTTGTATGTGGATAATTCCAGGTATAAACAGTGAAAACACGTAATTTCCTTTATTTGCCGTCATTTTTACTCAATAAAAACGTTGGTTATGGAACATTACCTGGTGATATATCCAGAAAAAGGGACTTCCAGATTGTATATTGTAGGGGCCCCATGTATTTGGATGTCGGAAAGTCTTCGTAGGTGAGGTTCGTTTCATGGATCTTTCCCTTTATTCTGTGTAGACACAGGACGACAACTGCATTATTCAAATTCAACACTGGCAACCCATTAATACCCAAGCAAACGATTCTTCCTCAATGGCTAGATCCTGTATCCAAACACTCATTTTCGAATCCTACTCTTTCCTACATCGCTGTGCTGCCCCTGCAAAGACAAACAGCTCAAATTCGCCTTTGGGAATGAGGTCAATCTGGGCAACACTGCAGATCACTTTCATTAGCTCAACCTAATCATTAATCATGCTATTCCTTTCCCATATGGCTAACTCATTCCCTTACACCGCTACACAGCCATTCTGAGAGAGCCGCATTTCTAAAACGTACATATTTATGCTGTTTAAAGGGTTAGTTCACCCAAAAATGAAAATTCTGTCAGTATTTACTCACCCTCATGTTGTTCCAACCCCGTAAGACCTTCGTTCATCTTTGCAACACAAATTAAGATATTTAAGATATTAAGATCGCTCCTGCATACAGTCCATAGGCTTCTTGAGGGAATGACTCTTGCTGGCATCGAAAAGTCATCAAAGACATCGTTAAAATAGTCCAAGTGACTACAGGGGCTCAATCTTAAGTTTATCAAACGACGAGAACACTTTGTGCGCAAAAACAAACAAAAATAACGACTTTATTTCGACTATTCACTTCCTTCTCCATGAGCCTGTAGTCAGTTAACGTAGTGTGATCGCGTAGAGCTACGTCACACGTAGGCTCACTATTGGCCGACGCTGGTCATGTGTGTGATGCGTGTGACGTACAATAACAGAAGCTTACGCTATTAAACTAGTAACCTGACTCGCGCAGAGGGAGAAATAAACCAATAGTTGAAATAAAGTCTTTATTTTTGTTGTTTTTTTGCGCACAAAAGTGTTCTCGTCATTTGATAAAGTTAAAATTGAGCCCCTGTAGTCACTTGGACTATTTTAACGATGTCTTTAATGACTTTGAGGCCAGAAGAGTCATTCCCTCAAGAAGCCTATGGACTAGTATGCAGGAGCGATCTTAATATCTTAAATATCTTAATTTGTGTTGCGAAGATGAACGAAGGTCTTGCAAGGCAAGGCAAGTTTATTTATATAGCACATTTCATACACAATGGCAATTCAAAGTGCTTTACATAGAAGAAATTAAAATAATCCAAAAAAGAAATCAGAATAATTAAAACAGTTTAGAATAAAAAATAAGAAATAATGAAAAATAAAAATTATGATAAAAATAAAATACAGTAGTCTTACGGGGTTGGAACAACATGAGGGTGAGTAAATACTGACAGAATTGTCATTTTTGGGTGAACTAACCCTTTAAGATTTCTCTACGCCCCAGCTATCTTTAACCTTGTTCTGCAGACTAGTCTCTTTTCTGTCTGGGTTTCTGTGACATACAGCAAATGGTCACATACATAAGTCAAATAACCTGACTTGCCTTGGTAGCTTCCACCAGCAATACCCTCCACGAATCACTTGCTCCCTGACCAGCGGTTACAAGAAAAAAGACAAAACGGTTTAGACCAGAGAATCTCAAACTACCGCAACATCCGCGCATCCACTCATCTCCGAGTCACGCCGCATCCTCAGTACCTGTCCGACGTCACGGCTATTCCTTCCAAGAACTCGTGCCGGCTGGTCTCGCTGAGTCGCTCCTGAAGGATCTGGATGCCTTCCTTGACGTCGCGGAGCTGCTGGCTGTAGCGCTGGATCTTGTGCTCGATGTCGGAGAGCGTGCGAGCCGTATCCGCCTCCAGCTCCTCAAGCGTGCTCTTCTGCCGCTCGCGCAGGAAACGGTGCAGTCGCTCAAACGCATCGCCGATCGTGGCACGAAGGCTCTTCGCTGACGACTATAAAGTAGAGAAGAAAGTTAGGACTTTTAGTAGGCTAGACTCTGTTCAGTTCATGCACTTATTGAGATGCGTCTTCACAAGGGATGTAACGATTCACTCGCAATCGATAAAAATCAGAGCCAGACCGATATATCGGCAGACCGATATTATCGGCCGATATGGCAGTTATAATGACGGATAAATGAATATTTCAAAAATAAAATAAAAACGGACGAAACACGCTTGAACCATGTCATGAGTGTTGGAGTTGTATAGTTTGTCCACCAGAGGGCGCTCTACACCGTCCCTGTTGGCAACACTCGTTGAGTTGGTCACGATGCATGCATTGCTTGAATAACAATTAAAAGAACATCCCAATCAGTTACAAAATCACAAAATTTGTGACTATCATGTCCAGTTTAAAAAATAAATAAATAAATAAATAAAATATCGGCCGATATATCGGAATATCGGATTTTAAAACCCGAAAATATTTGTATCGGTATCGGCCTTCAAAATCCTTTATCGGTCGTTCGGGCTCTAATAAAAATGAGTGTCGATTCAAGTCGGTTGAAATTTTAAACGAATCGCGATACACGTTTTAAACAGCAGGGGCGTTAACTGAATCGCCTACTGTGAAGTTGTGAACCTCGCTTTACAGGCACAACAGCAGCGAGCACACACTAGCGAGTGTTTTCACTTCATTCCTAAGGACCTTGAGCTTGTGTGAGCACTCATAGTAATGAACTGAAAATGCTTGGTTTGCTCCGCTCACGCCGTGCCAGTGTGCGCGCGCTGTCAAACACATGGCGACGGCAAGCGTAGATGTCGACTCGTTCAAATCGGAGCTGTGGCGGCATTTTCGTAGCGACTCTTCGTAGACTAATAATAATCACCACCGTGAGAAGCACATCACCTCCGTTTTCACGTAAAAGTCATTCGTATGACAAGTTTGAGAGCTATGGAGATCACAGTGTTTCCATGGCAACCATCTCTTTCTCTAAATGTTGTGTACATGGATTTATTTATTTTTTAAATAATTTGTTGATGGTATTTTGCTAAATGTGTTCTGTTTTTTTAACTCTTTCTAGTTTAATGATACAAATTATGACAATATTAAAATCTTTCCTTTATTACAATGTAAAATGCCTGTCAGTGTGTGAAGTGTGTGTGAAGGTGCCAGGGTCCAGTCTCTTGACCACACAGACAGAAACAGAATTGAAACAACCTTGAAGGGAATTTTCTTTTTCAATGTAGTTTTATTATTTGACAAATATATTCCAAAATGGAAAAAAAAATGTGCAGCATTTTGTCTGAGAAATAATAAAAGAGACACATTTTCATTTATAATTTATCTTAAATCTCATTTGTTAAAAAAATCGTGAGAAAATCGTATCGTGAATCGCATCGCATCGTGAATCGTTACATCCCTAGTCATATACACCACTGTTCAAAACTTCTTTTGAAAAAAAAAAAAAAAAAAAAACACCGGTGGGCCCAAATCCATTACATTTTTAAAACAGTATTATCCTATACTAAATCTTGACAAACTATATATCATTTGAAAGCTTAGAATCTCTAGTTTTCATATTTGGTGATTGATTTTCAAAATATATTACAGAGGAGCCGTAATTTATCAATTTGCAACAAGAATATTTTCATAATCTTTTATACTTTCATACTCTAACCTTTATTTTGAAATTGTGATGAACATGAGAAATCATGAAAGAAGGGTAGAAACCTGTTTGTTTTCAGGCCAAGAGTTCAAAAGAAAGCCTCCATTCAATTATTTTATAATTATAATAATTATTACTTCATATGGAAATGGAGGCGCCCTTATATGGGCAGTAATGGAGTCTGGTTGTGCCCTAGTGAAAAAGTTTGGTACTGCGCCCAAACAAAATCTCACTGAAAGCTCATTTTTTGAGATATCAACCTAAAATTTGAAATACAACTTATTCAGATTTTTGGCTTTGATTTTTTAGCAGTTTTAGAGTTGCCAGGTTTTGAAAATATATATTTTATATAAAATATGAATAATTAAATTTTTTATATTGTACATTTTCATGAACTCTAACTTCTATAACTTTTCTTCTGTTTCACATTCTTAATTTATTTCACTTCTACAAAAATCTGCCAAATGTCTTCTTTAAAACGAGACCATTTTTACGTCTATATTCCAGAGCGTTCTTGAATTACAACCATTTAAGTTCGAAATGTGCATTTTCATCTATATTCAAAAAAGGGGGGGGGGGTGACACTTAAGGGGTTAAGAAATTAATAAATAAGGATACATGAAATTACAAAAACATTCAATTTAATTAAATTTTTTTTTGTCTTTTGAACTTTCTGTTCAAAGAATCCTCATAAAAACCCTGTTGCATGGATATTCATCAACATATATTTGTAAGTTTTTAACTGTATTCTTGATCAAACACATGGAGCCTTGGTGAAATAGTGTGTCTGACATAAGGCACATAAACAAAGACAAACAACATATTTGATTTTTAAACTGGAGTGTGAACTGAAACTACGAGGAAAAAGTGATGCAAGTGACAAGTTAAAGCATGCCGTTTCAAATATTTAATGTATTTATATGTACACAATCTCTTTCTCTTCACAGGTGTTGGTGCACATCATCATAATTATACCGGTACTATTTTTATATGTATAATTATCATTATTATTATTTCTGCACAGGCTCAGTTAGATGTAATGAACTATGAAGCGAGTGGAAACTGCTCATATGAATGCATCACTAGAGACAGGGACACGGTCTAATAGTCACTGGAAATGGCATGTTGCTCATTCCTCAATCTTCAGGGTTATTGTAGGACAGCATACATCATTACACATGCAGACGAGCAACGAGATAAAAGCGGAGCGGATGATGCAGAACGCAAAAGACAATTGCGAAACTAGCCAACAAACCTCGTCATTGACCGTGAAGAAAAGAATAAAAGTCAAAGAGATAAAACGAGATGTTTCCGAGGAAGCCGGTCATCTCCACTAAAGCGTAAAGAACATCAGGTTCAGTCGACGGATCAGATCTGAAACCTCAAGGACGAATCGAGGCAGGACAGAAGATGGCCGTCCATACCAACAAGGCGAGCTCAGAACCGTGTTATGTTTCCATTTCTTTCTTCGCCTATAAAAAGAACTGGAAAAATAGACTTCACCGATTACAAGATTACTCCTACTAACAAATACAATAAAGGACTTGTTCCACTTCTGTCTTTCCAAAGGGAAATGTGATTTCCTTGCCACTGGGAAGATGAAATCCTATTAAGATCACGTCTTGCTCTCGTGTTATTTGCATGGGCTGAGTCAGCCCACCTGGTGTCGCATGATGTACGAGTTGGACTCAGCGATGCTGAAGTGGTGTTAGTCTCTCGAAACCATTCTCCCCATGGGCTGCGCTGGCTCACATCGGGTCTATTTAAAGCCAGTAAACACCTCCTATGAGCCTAGCATGACCCGGCCTCCAAGCAGCCTGCTCGCTTCGACATCTGCTAATCAGACACGTTTCCCCGGGGTCTTCCATTCAGATTCAACATCGGCACTTCAGAATCAGATGAGAGGGTCTGCCGCCGAGATATATCTAGAGCATGCTAAAAAACCAACAAGGTAAACAGGAACTACACTCTCAGAAAAAAAGGTACAAAAGCTTTCACTGGGGCTGTACCTTTTCAAAAGGTACACTTTTGTATCCAAAGGCTACATATTGGTACCTTAGTGGTACATATTAGCACCTAAAATTTACATATTAGCACCTGAAATGTACATATTAGCTCATGAAATGGACATATAAGCACCTAAAATGTACATATGAGCACCTAAAAAGCACATATTAGCTCATGAAATGTATATTAGCACCTAAATGTACATATTAACACTTAAAATGTATATATTAGCACCTAAAATGTACATATCACCTAAAATGTACATATTAACACCTAAAATTGACATATTAGCACCTAAAATGTACATATTAGCTCATGAAATGTACATATTAGCACCTAAAATGTACATATTACTACCTAAAATGGACATTTTAGCTCATGAAATGGTCATATAAGCACCTAAAATGCACATAATTATTAGCTCATGAAATTGACATATTAGCACCTAAAATGTACATATTAACACTTAAAATGTATATATATTAGCACCTAAAATGTACATATCACATAAAATGTACATATTAACACCTAAAATTGGCATATTACCACCTAAAATGTACATATTAGCTCATGAAATGGACATATATCAGCACATAAAATGTACATATGAGCACCTAAAATGCACATATTAGCTCATGAAATGGACATATTAGCATATAAAATGTACATATTAGCACCTAAATGTACATATTAACACTTATAATGTACATATTAGCACCTAAAATGTACATATTAACACCTAAAATTGACATATTACCACCTAGAATGTACATATTAGTTCATGAAATGGACATATTAGCACCTAAAATGGACAAAAGTGTACCTTTTGAAAAAGCACAGCCCCAGTGACAGCTTTTGTACCTTTTTTTCTAAGAGTGTAGCGGTATCACTGACTTGCTACATGCTCAAGTTTAACTTTTAGGGTTAGAGGTTTGACTGCTCAAAAGGTTTTCAGCAAGGATGCATTCAATTGGCCAAAAGAGACAGTGAAGGCGTTTATAAAGTTACAAAAAGGTTAAAAATCAATGCTGTTCTTTTGGTTTCCACAAATATTGTGTTTTCAACATAGATAATTCTTACTGAAAATTCTGATCAAATAAATGCAGCCTTGGTGAGCATAAGATACTTTAAATACACTACAAGCGCACTAAATACACACTGCACTCTTCAGTAGTGTATGAGCAATAATAATAATAATAGATAAGTTATATGTACCTCTAGTGATATGATAAAGCTACTTTACGAGATCAAAGGTGTACAACAACAACGCAGAATTGAATTAGCCAGGTTTTTAAGAGTTAAAAGTTGGCCCACTTTATTATCATTTAGAAGCCATGAGCCCACTTTATTTACGGTTTACTCCATAAATCTACTTCTCAAAAGCTTGTGCTGTGACAGCTCTCTTGCCGTGACACAGCGAATGTAAAATAACCTTCCGTCCTCTTATCGCTACAGGAAAGTCAGGGCCGCAGGAGGCATTTAGCATTGATGGTCCTGAATGTCAATGTCAAGCGTCTGGCTCTTTGAAAGCATCTTAAATCACTGCATCAATGAATCCACACAGGATACACTGGGAAAGAACTGAAAGATCCTTTCAAAGATAAATATGCAATCTGCAAAATCAAAGAGACGAAAACATGGTTTGCAATCACAGGGATACAAGTCTGAGATTAACTTGATTTAAGAGAATAAATATGTTCTTCTGAACTCAGCATGTAACAGGGTTTGCAATCTATTGTACCTTTGTAATATAAATCATTTGAAACAGGATATTCAATTGAAAAAAAAATACTTTTGTTCATTAGGAATAGATCAGACTATGAAGAGTAGGTCTATTATGTGTTATACACTTTAAAATTAGAAATCGTATTTTGGGATATTTATTTTCATTATTATTTTGGGATATTTGGGATTTTAAAAATTGAAATTAGAGGAATTAGATTACATTAAATCATTTGAACCTGTAAGGGAAAATTTTAAAATTTATATATATATATATATATATAATGAGATATATATATACACTATATATATATGAAGAGTTCAGATGCAAAAGCCTCTAAATGCCATTTGAAATTTTCTTCTTTAATGATGATTTTTATCAAACTTGTATATTTATGTTCAGTAATTTCACTTAAATAACAATTAATAGGTAATTATCATTGCCATTTAAGTGAAATCACTGAACTTAAATATACAAGCTTGATAAAAATGATCATTCTAGAAGAAAATTTAGAAGAGGCTTTTGCATCTGAACTCTTCATATATATATATATATATATATATATATATATATATATATATATATATATATATATATATATATATATATATATGATTTAATCTAATTTAAATTTTTTGAAAATTAAAATTAGATTAAATTCCTCTAATTTCAATTCCTCTAATTTCAATTTTAAAAAATAAATAAATAAAAATGTTTAGATTAAGAAAATAAAATATAAATTTAAATAAAATATATAGATAAATAAATACATCAAAATAAAGTACTAAAATACAGACAGATAAAATGGATAACTAAAATAAAAAATTATCTATATTTCATACCTCACACACACAAACATGCCAGTGTTGCATATAATGAAGACTAAAGATCAATTGTGAAGCAATAGACCATTTCACAAGATGTAAACAACACTGGTCCAGAAGCACTTCCTGTTTCAGTTTGTAACTATTTTCTTTATTTCACATGTAAAGAAAACATCTTAAAGATGTTTGTTTAACTTTTTTATTCAGTTTTAAATGTTCTGTTGGTTGTATTTTATCCCAGCTTTTATGTAGTGTTAAAAAACTGAAACAGGAAGTGCTTCTGGACCAGTGTTGTTTACATCTTGTGAAATGGTCTATAAGACCGACACCAGAGATCCACAGTGTCACAAAGCTCTTTCTCTGCATTAGTCCCCAATCCCAAACAGACGCTAATTAAAAAAAAAAAAAAAAAAGAGGGCGAAGAAAGCAGGGAGACGAGAAAGTTGTATTATCGACTGTGGAGTCTCTCTCTGTTGATTAAAACAAGGTGTCAAGATTAAAGACCTGTTCAATAAACCAATTTGCTTGTTGGGAATTCAATGTCAACAGAAAAGAGAGAGCGAGAGCGAGAGAGATGAGCAACAGACACAGTGAGAGATCTGCCATGAATCCGTAATGGGCAGTATGCACGGTTTGTCTATTTTTATGCGGCCTGATTCCAGATGTGGTTTAATTGAATCTCAGAAGTGAAATGTCAATGTGGTGATTTCAATCAACCAGCCAAACATGTAGATAAATATAAACCACTGTTGGTCCTCCGGCTTAAAACGTTTAGTTGTAAACACTTCTATAACTATTGCAAATCATAAAGTGAATCTGATTACAAGGGAGTGGAGGAGCGTTGCAGCAAACAGCATTCACTTTAATCGTTATGTGGCTTGGGTTGCCCCTTTAATGGACGTCCAAGGGAAACGTTTTTTTTTTCTCTTCAGAATAATATACACTGATAAAAGGCATGTGCTGAAGTTTACCTTGGTTTCGGTGAGCTGTCTCTGCAGTAGCTGCAAAGCCTCTGTATGACCCTTCTCACTGTCCTGTAGAGACACCAGCTGCTCCTTCATCTCCCTCTGCAAGAAAACCACAGCGCAACACATGTCATTACTGCCCATTAATCTGGCAACCTCTAACCCACAGTAATTACTCTGAACCAATCCAAAGCCTTCCGAAGAGAGATACCAGAACTCTGATAGCAGTAACACACACAATCCTTCACTGGATGATCACCCAAAATAAAAATCATTGGGCAACTCAGACATAAGATTGAAAGTGCACTTTTCTTCCAGTATTAAGGTTTTTGATGAAAACATTCCAGGATTTTCTCCATATAATGGACTTCAATGGGGTCCAAACGGTTCAAGGTCCAAATGAGAGTTTCAGTGCAGCTTAAAGGGCTTTAAACGACACCAGACGATGAATAAGGGTCTTATCAAGCGAAATGATCGCTCATTTAAAAAAATAAATTATAAATTATAAGTTTTATAAGCTCAAATGTTCGCCTAGCTGTGTTCTGTGATGCGCGTTCGTGACTCTCCTGATCGAACTCGTTCATCAAAATGAACAAATCTTTTTTTGAGTCATTTTAATAAACGAGTTCAAACAGGAGAGTCACGATTCACGAACATGCATCGCAGTACAAAGCAACGCGAGCATTTGAGCTTATAAAACTTAAACTTTATTTTTTTAAATGATTGATCATTTCGCTTGATAAAATTCTTATTCATCGAATCGGAATCGTTTAAAGCCCTTTGAATAGTTTTCAGTCTGCACTGAAACTGTCTTTTGGACCTTGAACCGTTTGGTTCCCATTGAAGTCCATTATATGGAGAAAAATCCTGGAATGTTTTCATCAAAAACCTTCATTTCTTTTCGACTGAAGAAAGAAAGACGTGGACATCTTGGATGACATGGGGGCGAGTAAATTATCAGCAATAGTTTTTTTAAAGTGAACTACTCCTTTAACAATGAGAATTTGACTTAATCTCATAAAAAAAAAAAAAACTTATATGACTGAAATAATCTCTATTACAATAATCATTTCATGCATGAGTTTGATCTAGACTGGAAGTTTCAAATTGTAAGAAAGGTACAGAGAACGGTGGCTTTATAGTTACAGGCAAAAAAAAAAAAAAAAAAAAAGAAAAAGCAGAAATTAATAAATAAACAGTGAGCTTCCAGAAAGGTCTGTGTCAGGGAAAGTGGGTCTCTGCAGTGGACGTGGCAGAACTGGGACGACGGGCCATGTTTGCTCGCCTAGAGGCAGAATGCACCAGCCCCTATACAATACACCAGAGCTCATCTAATGACTAATATACATATATTAATATATAATATAGTGCTGCAAAATTTGGGGAAAAAATAGCATTGTAATTCCCATATCAATATGGCTAAAAAGAGTGTTATTTTTTGACTGTGTTTAGTGTCTGTTTCATGCAAAACATGTCACCTATGTGGACAAGCTTGATAATATTAATTTATTGATTTTAATCGGTAACATGGTTTCTTAAATCTAAAATCGTTCAGATGCTCAACATGAACAAAACGTCACTAAGCGAGCCCAGCATCTAATAATCACAAAAAGCTTTGTGCTTTGTTACTTTTAAAATTAGGTGAATTTGTAAATCTGTCGATTTTATTATGAAATTCAAATAATAAATGTCATTTCTTTAATATGGCGTGAGCCTTTACACAATGAATGAAGTTTAATACGTGTGAGCAATACTCGATGCTAGCCTCAAAAAACACCACTAACTCAAACTCGTATTGTTCCAGAGGGAAATAAACAGCAATGAGTCTAGGCCACACATTTTATAAACAAGATTATCCTGAAAAACATATTCATCTGATATTCCAGCACCATGTTGTTTCGATAGAGGAACAATATGACTATGAAATGCTGTTGTAATCCATTTCTCACACTATATTTTAACGACCCAGTTCACTAACATTTAAAAAGTCAATATGTTCGGAAAACACAGTATTATTATCTGACAGCTATTAAGACTCAAATACACGCGAGCATTGAAATAGCTCTAAATTATATCCAGGACGAGGAGCAGAGAATACAATTACGTTCTTTATAAAGCTTATTACTTCAGGGAAATGCTGCCTGTGCTCTACAAGTATCTAAATACCCTTCCCAGCATCCAAACCGCCTGGTTTCAGTATGCATACCTGATAGATGAGATGAGATCAAGTCAAAGCAACATAACCAGCCGGTGCACTTCGGGAGTAAAGCAGCAAATGGTTATTATTGGATCATTATACACCATATATTTTTTATGCGCCATTTACTTCCACCTTTAAAAAGTGTATTCAGAGAACTAACAACTTCTTTAAAAAAATGCGTCTCTGTGATGTTTCCATGCAAATGAACCCAAGTTCATGTCTGAACAAAGGACTGAGTGTGCTGGTTTCAGCTGAGCACGGAGGTCAGAGGCGGCCCACGTTTATATCAATCTGAGCGGGCGAGAGGAAGTCTGACATGACATTTCCCCAGGATGCAACACAGCAGGGGGAAGAGGTTCATTGAAGGCCGATTGCAAGACAAACTCACTTCACTCTGATTCATCATCTTTGCATTTGAGCAACATATTCAAAAGAAAATGGAAGTGCGTGTGTCTACGTCATTTAATTATATAATTAGGGCCCAAGCCCTGAAAGGGTGTTTTCCTTAGGATTATTTTTTTCTATTTTTTACGACTTTTCGGGCACTTTTGTGGCCCTTAAAGGGATAGTTCACTTTGAAATGAATTTTTGATATGTTTTATCTTACCTCAAGGGCATCCAAGATGTAGATGTCTTTGTTTCCATAGTATTTTCAATTTTGACATTTTTCAGTCAAACCGTTGTTGTCTATCAGTCATATAATGGAGGCTAAGGGAAAAAGCATGCACAGAGAAGTCCAAATTAAACATGATTTAATGACTCGTAAATGTAAGCACACACTGATGGCCTAAGACACGAAACGAGCGGTTTGTGTGAGAAAACCAACAGTATTTATATCGTTTTTACCTCGTGTAATCACAGTGATCTGAATCAGTTGTTCAATGTCCAACTGAACCGAACTGAATCAGTTCAATGTGACGCCGGGAGTGATCGCTTGCGTGTGACGTCACTCAATATTTACACGGAGATTTCGGAAGTTTTACCTTTTACTAAACATATTTAGATATACCGAAATCGTCTTCCATTGCGGTTTCCCGTATATCTAAATATGTTTAGTGAAAGGTAAAACTTCCCAAATCTCTGTATAAACAAAGAGTGACGTCGGCGCGCAAACGATCACTTCCAGACCGAAGCGCCCGTGCCGTCAGATCATTTTGTCATGGCTGTGATTACACGAGGTAAAAACGATATAAATACTGTTCGTTTTCTCACACAAACCGCTCGTTTCGTGTCTTAGGCCATCAATGTGTACTTACATTTATGAGTCATTAAATCATGTTTAATTTGGACTTCTCTGTGCTGCTCTTTGAGGTGGTGACCATAGACCTCCATTATATGACTGACAGACAAGAACGGTTTGACTGAAAAATATCAAAATTGAAAATACTGTGGAAACAAAGACACCTACATCTTGGATGCCCTTGAGGTAAGATAAAACATATCAAACATTAATTTCAAAGTGAACTATCCCTTTAACATGCTTGAAAACTCTTGAAATTTTGCACACACGTCAGAACCCGCGGCCATCAGGGCCAAGCTGAAGATGGTACCCGGGTACGAGAATTGGGTCTGGCGTTACACCAATCCAACAACTCTGAAGTAATTGTATATGAGACAAAGCCAAATATATTTGAAAATCAGAACAAAACTATGTAAATCATTTACTCAATCCAGACCTTTATGGCTTGGAGCAAAAACCGAATATGTTCACGATACTATTTACCATGTAATGAAAGTGAACGGTGACCACTAACGATCGCTGTTTGTCCCTTTAAGAAAGAATGCATGAACTTCTCTTCTTCTCAATCAGATTATGTTATCAAGCCAGTCCACGCTACACCTCAAAAACCTTAAGTGCAACGCTTTTGATTTCCATTCCAACCGCGACAGCAACCTCTCTGACTGGTGGATTGCACTGGAAAATTAGCAAGCAAACAAATACAAAGACTTTTGTGGAAGTATATAACATCTATCTTCTAAAGTTTAGCTGTTATTACAAAAAGAAACTGCGTTTTTGCTTCAGAAACCCTACTGTTGAGCGCCATTCAGCTACGTTCTATAAACTTCCTCAAAGGTTCATTAAACCACCACCTGGCTGTGAGCTAAAGATGCGTTCGAACTGCTGCCACTGATGAGACTGAAGGAGATAATCAGGGTGCATGAATAATGACATTCGGCAGGCGTGCTCATGATACTTCACTTCATGCATCCCTTCAAACCCTGAGAACGAATGCATTCAAAGCAGTGTTGTTTTTGGCAGCCCTTTTAGTTTCAGTCTTAGTCTTTTGGACGAAAATGCTTTTAAGTTTTAGTCACATTTTAGTCATTTATAAACTTAATAGTTTAGTCAAGTTTTAGTCGACGAAAACACAAAAAGGTTTTAGTCACGTTTAGTCAATTTTAGTAAAAGAAGAAAAAAGTAGTCTTTAACAAATTAATTTAGGTTAAAAAGTATTGGGAATGGGCTTAGGTTTGACAGGTTTAGCAAGTTGCAATTAATAAAACAACAGCTAACCTTAAAACTAGGGCTGGGTATTGAGACAAATCTCACAATTCGATTTGATTTCGATTCACAAGCTTGCAATTCGATTCGATTTCAATTACGATTCGATTCGATATCGATTATTTTGGATATCAGTTACAATAAATGGCAATTTTTCTCAAGGGAATCAAATCTCTTAAATGCTGTAAACTATGGTCTATATATATATAGTCTAGTTGTAGCCTACTAGCCTAATATGAAGGTAATAATGAACTGTTTTGTAGCTATACAAACACTTAAATTACACTTTTATTTATTTTTATAATAAGAAGATTATATGAAATATAAACATTTAAATGGTGGCTGTCATAAAAACTTGCCAGATTATTCAAATATGCATTAATATTGAAGAACACTAAT